CCTTCTACTCCTGTCAAGGGAGTAGAACTCCCTGGGACACTGGAGCCGCGCCCAACAGGGTCGCTGACTTGATGGCAGTGAGCTGGTTTGGGTTGGGTCCCTTTGGGCCAGGCCTCAGGTCTGACACTCCGCAGCAGTTCTGGGCGGCAATTAGCCAGAATTTTATAGGCGCCGCCGACAACCTGAGCCCAGAGAGGCTGGGTAACCTGCCCACAACAGCTGTCAAGTGACCTCGGGGTCTGAATCCAGGGCTCCCTGCACAAACTCTCTGAATCAGGCAGATTCACCAACCAGGGTGGACAACCAAGAAGTCGAAGAGCTGCCTGAGCATCAACTTGGACTTTAGCTTCTGACCAGCAGCCCTGGTGTCGCGGCAGGTTACACACTGAGCTGCTGACCCCACGGTCACCAGTTTGATTCTGACGGCCGCGCTGCAGGAGAAGGGCCAGGCAATCCCCTCCCATCAAGATCCCCAGCCTCTGAAACCCCAGGGAGCAGTCCCTACTCGCCCGTAGGGTTGGTAGGAGCCAGGATTGACTCAGTGACAGCTGGCTGGTTGGTTGTTTAGCTTCTGAAAGTTTCCAGCACATCATTCCCACGCCCATGTGGTCTCCTTCCACGTGTGCCTGCATGTCTGCGTAGTCGGCAGGTGGTGCAGCCCTGGGAAGAGGGGAGGTGGGGCTTGCAGACCCCAGAGGATCCCGGTTGGTAAAAACCCCTTCTTCCGATCATTCCCGTATGTGCAGCTGGGTGGACCCAAGGCCTTGTAGAGGGATGGATGGGCAGGAGATGAGACTCAAAGCCATGGGATGCATGTGTTAGAAAAGCAAGTGCTATTGAAGACCCTGGTCTGGATGGTGGAGCAGGCTCATCTCAGTGGGTGTCTAGCCCCGAGACAGATACTGGCATCAGGGTGTCTAAGAGTCTGCCCTTCGAGTTGTCACCAACACATGGAAATCCATGCTCCAGGACACAAAGGCAGCCCTGGTGGGGGGAATGGTTACAAGTTGGGGGGATACCTTCCAGGCCAGCCGTTTGAAACCACTAGCCACTTTACAGGAGAAAGACAATGCTTTCTACTCCCGTAAAGAGACAGTTCTACCCTGTCCTGTAGGGTCACTGTGGATCGGTAAAGACTCGATGGCAGTGGGTGGGTGTGTGTTGTGGATGACCCACGAAGGGGGTGAATTCCATCTCGGAACCCAGCGGCCATTTACTGGAGTTTTGGTAGTGGGCATGTCCGGGGGCTGCTCGGGATGAGATTTGTTTTCTTCTGAAGCTGCCCCTTTGGGAGACCATGCACAAGCAGCCTGGGGCAGCGTCCCTGGGGAGCCCCTGCCTGGGTGGCATTTGAAGGGATTCGCCAGCTGACTTCAGCCCCAGGCACTTCTCTTACTGGCCGGCTGGCTGTGGCGTTCACAGGTGCAGTGGCTGGGGCAGGGCAGCAGGGCACACAGCTCAGAGACCTGGGCCCCGACCTGCTGGGCACATTGCCTGGTCTCTGCTCTCCGGAGAGGCCTCCAGCCCACCTCTGCCCTCTCCACCTAGGCTCCCCCCTAGTGCTGGCCTCATGGAGCGGATCCAAGCCATCGCTCAGAACGTGTCCGACATCGCGGTGAAGGTGGACCAGATTCTGCGCCACAGCCTGCTCCTACACAGCAAGGGTGCGCATGGGGATGGGGAGGGGGGCTCCAAGCGTAGCCCTGCTCCTGCACACAACAGGAATGGGTAGGGGGCTCCCTGAGCCTGAACCCACTAGTCAGGATGCTGGGGTCCCCAAGCCCAAACCCTCTCCTGGGGGGGTCTGGGGTCTTCCTTCTGGAGATGGTGTGGGGGCGCTGTCAGCCCAGTCCCGCTCCTGTGCAGCAAAAGTGGGTGTATGGGGCACGGAGCTCTATCCAGTGCCCACCTTTCCCACTCTGTGCACACCCCACCCCCCAGGCCTGCACACTGGGAAGGTGGCCTGGGTGCAGCCCCGGGAAGGTGGCCGTCCCAGGGACTGGACACACCTGGCCTGGGCTCCTGCTCTCTCCAGCCCCAAGCTGCCCACCTGGCTCTCGGGTTCCACTTGAAGCTCTCTGTGGGCTGACTTGGGGCTCACTCCACCCTGACTTGTGCTGAGGACTGACGTCTTGACCACCCAGGGGAGGGTCCCAACTGTCCTCTCCGTCCCCTGCAGTGGAAGTAGTGGGCCAGGCTCCCAGTCCTTCCTCTGCCCCCCATATGATTTAGGGGTCCATCTGAGTGGAGCTTGCTGTCAAGGGCACCGCCCACAGCTGGTAAAGCCAGCTCCTCACTGGTTCTGAAGCCCTGAGGAGAGGAGGGGAGGGAATCCTGCCTGTGTGGTGTGGAAGATGGGGGCACCGGACAGGCAGGTTGTGTGAGGCTCAGAACCCCCTGCTGCTTCCTCCCCAGCTCAGATCTCCCCCTGGGACCCAGGTCCTCAAACCCTGCCCAGTCCCATTCAGCCTGAACCCTCTACTGGCACCTGAGACCATAGTCCTCAGACCTTGCCCAGCCCGACCCTTCACCTGCATCCCTGGAACCCAGGTCCTGCCCAGTCCCACCCAGCCTGGACCCCCTACTGGCACTTTGAGACACAGATTCTCAGGCCCTGCCCAGTTCCACTGACCCTGGACACCTTGCCTGCACTCCAGAACCCAGATCCTCAATACCTATCTAGTCCCACCACCCTCGATTCCCTGCCTGCACCCTGGACTTCAGCAAGCTGCCCTCTCCCACAGTGTCTGAAGGCCGGCAGGACCAGTGTGAGGCTCCTAGTGACCCCCAGTTCCCTGACTGCTCAGGGAAAGTGGAGGTGAGCCTGGGGCTGCGGGCAGTGGTGGGTGGGCAGGGAGGTGGGGCCAGGAGGAGTAGCCCCTCTGTTGGGCTCTGGCTCTGATCACCTTGAAGGGCTCTACCCTAGCAGGGACTTTACAGGGCCAGGCTTCGTGCCCTGCCCGGACCCTGGCCCTGGCACAGAGGGCAGAGCCCAGTTCCCTGGAAGTGCCCAGGCTGTCCAGATGGGTCGGTCAGCAGGTCTTATTGCTCACATGTATAGAGGTACCGCTGCCCCACCCTCTGGGTGGCCCAGACCCTCCCACTGCTTCATCTCTCCTGGGCATCCGCCCAGGCCCCCACCAGCTGCGGCCGGTCTGCAGGGGTCCCTCATGTGAGGATCCTGTGTGGAGTCTGCCCTGGCCTAGCCCCTGCCCCCTGAGGGACTGCTTCTAGCCTTGGCCTTGAGCTGAATCCTGGGTGATGGGGATTAGGACAGGAGGAGACCTAGCCAGGCCTCACAGTCCAAAGACCCCTGACTCTCTGTCCTCCAGACTCCGGAAGACGGCACCTGGTGGCCGTGGGGTCAACCCCAGCTCTTGGCAGTGCCTGGCTCCACCAGGTTCTCAGTGGCTGGCTTCTCAGGAGATGGCCAGGCCTTTCTTCCAAGGTGCCCGTGGATGGGCTTGAACCTGCAGCCTTAGCAGTGTTGTGCCTTCACTGCGCATCTCATTCCCTCAGGGACCCATCTTCTCTCCGAGACCCTGAGTGGTCAGCCCTGGGGGTGGGGGTGTTCAACCTCCCTGTCCCTCGCTGGTTCTACCTACTCTCTCTGCAGTGGATGCGGGCCCGCTGGACCTCCGACCCCTGCTACGCCTTCTTCGGGGTGGACGGTACCGAGTGCTCTTTCCTCGTCTACCTCAGCGAGGTCGAGTGGTTTTGCCCCCCGCTACCCTGGAGGAACCAGACGGCTGCCCAGACGGGCCCCAAGGCCCTCCCCAAAGTCCAGGTAGGGGGCACGGCGGTGGCTGGGCCAGGGTGGAATGGGAAGGGCCTTTGGCCTGGGCAAGACCAAGCAGTTTTCAGGTGGAGGCCAGGAGGCAGATCCCAGGCCTGTCCCTCAGACGGAGCCAGCCGACCTTGCCTGTCCCAATGTCTACAGGATGGGGGGTGCTGGAGGTGCCCCCCCTCAGGACAGAATCATAGCAGGATAGCTGCCCCATTGTCCTTTCTTTCTCCCAAGGGATTTCTCTGTGCCCTTACACCTCCCTGCGGTCTTATGTGAGCAGGGACAGGCGACGAAACCAAAGCTCAGAGAGGCCCCTTGTCAGAGCCGACAGTCGGAGGAACCAGGGCCCAGGTCCTGACCATGACCCTCAGGCCTACCGTGCTCCTCGGGTGCCCTGGGCTGTGTGCAGGGACCATCTCCCGGAGAAGCAGAGCTGGGCTGGGTGTCTGTGGCAGGAATGGCAGGGAGCCCCTGGACTTTGGAGTGGGTGTACCCCTTAGAAAGTGTGGGGGACAAGCCAGTTGCCAGGCAGATGACTGGGACTTGGGGTAGGTGTCACAGCAGAACTGAACCCCACAGGGCTCAGATCGTCAGGCCTTGCCTCCAAGGCGCCTCTGGGTGCACTCAGAGCTCTCCCCTCTGGCTCAGCGATTGAGCTGGCTGACCACACGCACCACGCAGAGGCCCGCTGTCTGGTGGGGAGGGTGCCCAGAGGCCTGGGGAGGTGGGGGCTGGGCAGCAACCCGCTGTGGATGTGGGCTCTCAGACCTGAGGCGCCGGACGCCTCCCCCAGGCAGCATTCCGCAGCAACCTGTCCCACCTTCTGGAGCTGGTGGGCCGCGGGAAGGAGTCTCTGATCTTCATGAAAAAGCGGACCAAGAGGCTCACTGCCCAGTGGGCCCTGGCCGCCCAGCGTCTGGAGCGGAAGCTGGGGGGCGCCCGCAGGGACCAGAAGCAGGTACTGCTGCCCGCCCCATCCGCTCAGGGCCTCCAGCTGCATGTGGGCGTGTGGGGCAACTGGAGGGAGGGGTGCGGCCCTTCCCGAGGTGGGGGCAGGGTGACGGCCCTCTGAGATCTGCAGAGGTCTGCTCCCATCAGCAGGAAGTCATGGCAGCTCCACGTGGCGGGAGTCCACGCAGCCCACTTTGGGAAGGCGCCCCGAGGTGCTCGTTCATCCACGCATGCTCCCGTTAGCTCATTCACACAAGACGTCTGACACGACTCTCACCTTCGGACCCTTTGCCTTGTGTCTGTTGGCGACTATCTGCCGCCTCGGCCCCTTGCTGAGCTCTGATGTCTGGGTACTGGGCTGCCGGCTGGACTGCAGGGGTCTCACTGCCAGCCTGGCCTGCCCCTCTGTGTCTCCCCCACCCCCAGATCCTCGTGCACATCGGCTTCCTGACGGAGGAGTCGGGGGACGTGTTCAGCCCGCGGGTGCTCAAGGGCGGGCCCCTGGGGGAGATGGTGCAGTGGGCAGACATCCTGGCCACACTCTATGTCCTGGGCCACAGCCTGCGTATCACCGTCTCCCTGAAGGAGCTGCAGAGGTGAGCCCCATGGTGGGGGGCATGACCCCAGGAGCCTGTGCACCCCCAGTCCTGGGCGGCTTCCGCATCTGCTCCTCGCAGCCACCCTTAGCCAGAGTAGACTCGCCCCATGCTCTTTGCAAATCTGCATCTTCAGGGAGGAGCCTGGTGGCAGAGTGGCTTACTCTGAACAAAATGCGAAGTTCAAGCCCCCCAGCTGCTCCTAGGGAGAAAGAGGAGGCTATCTGCCCCCGTAAAAGATTGACAGCCTTGGAAGCCCCATACGAGGCTGAGATGAGTCAAGATCGACTCTGTGGCTGTCAGGTTTTTGGTTTTGGTGTGTGTGTTGGTGGGGGGCAGGGGGGGCTGGAGGCAGGCTGATGGCTTAGTGGTTTCCCGGTGGTCAGCAGTTCGGATTCCCCAGTGGGTCAGTGGGTCAGCTTTATGGGCTGCACCATTCTCCCACAGAGCTCATCTTTCGGTTAGCAGCCAAGCACCACACTGCTATACTGCCACAGCTCTTACTGGGTTTCGATGAGTGGACATCAGCTCATGGGCAGTGTCCTCCTGCCCAACTCCTCCTCTGCACTGACACTTTTTTCCCATGGGGAGGCCCTGAGGAACCACCCAGCCACGTCACCGACCTATTCTCCAGCCCTGGGCCTGCGGCTTGCACACACATACACACACACCCAAGGCTGGGAAGACCCTGGGTTTGTACTCAGTAGTGACAATCACTGACGTGGAACTGAGCCCTGTCATGCATTCCGATGGCATAGTGGTTACATGCTGGGCTGCTAACAACAAGGTCAGCAGTTCAAAACCACCGGTCACTCCTGGGGAGAAAAAGAAGGCTTTCTACTCCCATAGAGTGACAGTCTCACACCCCCCTGGGGGCAGTTCTACCCTGTCCAACAGGGTCACTGTGAGTCAAAAAGGCCTGGAGGGCTGTGAGTTTGGGTTTGGGGCTCGGGGCATTCGGGGACCCCCTCCCTGCCTTCCCGGTGGGCTCCATGCTGCCTCCAGGCTGCTCATCTGAGGGTGGGCTCCAGCCTGGGCCCTTTCTGGGGACAAGAGACCAGTAACACTGGGAGGGGAATGGTGGTGATGGTGGGGGGGTAATGCCTGCCCCTTCCCCGTGCTTGGCTTTCCTGTGGGGCTGTTGGGGTGCAGGGCAGGTAACGGAGGCCCCCGAGTATTTGGCAGGAGGCTGGGGGAGATGGTGCATGTGGGATCTATCTGTAAGCACCTGGGTGCTGTCAAATGCATAGGGGGTTCTTTTCATTTAGCCACGCTTCTTTGACAAGGGCTCATACATGAAAAACAAACCAACCGAGTCCCTGGCCGGTGAACACAGTTAAGCAGGAGATTAAACAAAGGTTGTCGGTTCGGCACACACCTGTGCCCTCCCGCACCCCATCCGGGGATGCCTTGGAAGAGAGGTCTGGAGATCCCCACCATCAACTCCTGCGGGGCAGTGCTGGAACACCCAGGGCAGCCTCGCAGTCGAACTGGCTCCGCAGCGGCTGATTTGGGTGTGGTGTTTTTTTTTGGCTTATGTCACGTGAGGTGGCCACGATTCAGAAGTGGTGGCTGGTTTGTTTTTTGGTTTTGAGAACCAGGTGGACTGCAGGACCCCTCCCTCCACCCCCATTTCCCGCCACCCCACAGAGGAAGCCGGCAACTCCAGTTTTGTCTTTTCAGTCCATATTCATGGATCCGTGCGCAGTTCAGGGAGAAGTCTGTTTGGGTTTTGCGTTTTAGGTAAATGGTTTCCTGGTGTTCTGAAGTCACCAGGAAGAGGGGGCTTTCTGCTCCTGCCAAGGGCCACCACCTTGGAAACCCACAGGGGCAGCTCCACCCTGGCGTGTTGGTCGCTGAGTAGACGTTGGCCGATGGTGGCGTTTGTGGTACCTGTGTGCCTGCTGCACCAGGAAAACACGGCCCACCCACCCTGCCAGCCTCTCGGTACCTTCCCCAACCTCTGTTGTTTTCTGCTCTTTCTGAACTTTGCTCAGGAGCCCTGCTGGTTTAGTGCTTATACATTGGGCTGCTAACTGCAAAGCCAGCAGTTTGAAACCACCAGCCGCCCCTTGGGAGGAAGACTGGGCTTTCTACTCCCATAAAGCTACAGTCTTGGAAACTCCCAGGGGCAGTTCCACTCTGCTCTGTCGGTGACTGTGGGTCGGCATCGGCCTGACAGCAGTAGGTTTTGGTGTTTTCTTCCCAAGCCATAACTTTATTGATAGAAACAGTACAAAGTTCAAACCAAACTGTAGTTACGCTTTTGAAACACCAAAAGAAAAAAAAGAGCAGGGGGAGTGTCCTTTGTTTTCAGATGGTTACATTGTTAATTCCATAATAGCACTTACAATAACATTACTATGTTTTTCAAGGCCCGGACTGCTTTTGCTCTTGATACATTTGCTTGGGACATGACCAATTCTCCGTCCTTAACTTCCACACCTGTTTCATCAACCTCTTCACTCTCCTCTTGTACAGTTGGAGTTTGTGTGTTTTCTTGAATGTTCGAGACAGCCTCACCTTGAACTCTGAACTTCTCAGCAGCTGCTAGTTGTGTTTGCTGAGATAAACCCTCGATCTTGGCTCCCCCAAAACCATGTAAGTCTCCGAAGCAGGGCTCTTGGAGACATCTGGCTTTGTGATGGCAAAGAAGATGTTCTTAGATTTCCGGATAGTGACCCTAGTAACTCCTGTGCCTCCCTGGAGACCCAGTTTGGACACAGCCTGCGTGCCTTCTTTCCACTCTGACTCTGCTTTGCTTTACCGACTGGCTCCTCCTCGATTTCAGCTGCCGCTGCCAACTGAGCTTGCTGTGTGGTTGCCTGTGTGGAATCCTGCTCCTCGAGCTCTGGTATGGACGCATCACCGTCAGATTCTGTTCCAGATCCTGTCTCAGCCTGGGGCTGTGGCAACTCCTGCTCAGTGGCAGGGGCGGTCTCTGTGGCTTCCCCGGGCATTTCGCACAGGGGACGCGGAGCCAAGACGGTGGCGGAAAGAGAGCCCCGCAGTAGGTTTTGTGGGTTTAAAATGACTTCGTGAGTGAGGCAGGATCTCACTGTGGTTTGGCTTGGCGTCTCCCCGATGGCTAGTGACGGAGAGCAGTGCTTCATCTGCTTGCTGGCCACCTGGATGTCCTCTCGGGCAAACTGCTCGTGTCCTCTGTCCACGTTTTAGCTGGGCTACTCATCTCTTCCTTGTTGAGGTATTGCAGTCTTCGGTAGAGTTAGAGATTGGCCCTCTAGGGCCTTCTTGGACATGTCCCATGGAGCATCATGTAAGACGCGTCTGGGCACGGGCTCAGGTCTGTCCATAGGTCTTCTACTCTGCGGATCGGTGCCGTTGAGTCTGTTCCAACCGTAGCAACCCCGTGGACAACAGGACGGGGGACACTGCCCGGTCCTACACCATCCCCACAGGTGTTGCTACCCCTGAGTCCATGGCCACAGCCGCTGTCAGTCTGCCTTGCCGCCGAGGGCCTGCCTCTCTGTCACGGACCCTCCACTTGAACAAGCAGGATGCTCTGCTCCGGGGACTGGTCCCTCCTGATGAGGGACTGAGTCTCACCATTCACATTTCTAAAGAGCCTTCTGGCTGGCACTACTTGCAAGACAAGTTCATTCATCCTTCTGCCAGTCCGTGGTTGGTGTCATCTTCTTCACCAGTACCTCATTCCAGGACACTCCTTCTGGGTCTTCCTTATTCACCATCGAGCTTTCGTGGGGGTCTGAGCATGCGGTGTGAAGATCCAGCCTGGCAGCATGATGCCAAACTGTGTTCTAAAGTTGTCGAACCATTTCACGTACCTACCAGGGCACTGAGTGGAAAGGGCCCTGGCAGCGCCGTGAGGCACATGTCGGGCTGCTAACCACAAGGTCTGCAGTTTGAAACCACCGGTCACTCTGTGGGAGAAAGATGAGACTTTCTGCGCTTGTGAAGAGTGACCGTCTTGGAAACCCCCAGGGGCAGTTCTAGCCTGTCCTAGAGGGTGGCTGTGAGTGGGCGCAGACTCGACGGCAGTGGGTTCAGGGGTGATCACTGTGAGTTCCCGTCGGGTAACATGCTCACCACGCCACACAGTGACATCCCCCTTCTTCCTGAGCCTCTGCCTGGATGGTGCAAAGGGTTTGACCCCCCAGCTGCTGACCAAAGGTTAAAGGTTTAAGTCCACCCAGAAGTGCCTCAAAAGAGAGGTCTGGTGATACACTTCCGAAAACCCAGCCCCTCGCACACATGGGGGTGGGGTGGGGGTCCGCTGTGAGTGGGCATGGACTGGGCAGCGAGCGCGTGGCACTGTGTTGACATAGCAGCACCGTCCTGGGCTTCTCTTGCATTCCCCTGATAACTATTGAGGTTGTATCATCCGATCAGATGTCTATCTAATCTTTTTCCTCTTCAAGAAGTGCTGTCTTGTCCTTGACCCATTTTCTGTTGGTCGAAATGTTTTCGTTTTTTTCTTACTGAGTTGATGCATCCTAGACTTGTATACATTTAAAGAGTCTCCTGTTTGTGGCTTTTTTTTTTTTTAAGTACGGTGATGGCGATTTTGATGGACATCGAAATTACGCATCTTTTCCTTTCTGGTTAGGGAGGTGCTGTGGGCGGATGTCTGGCTCTTCTGCGATTGGTTTGGATGAGAGGCGTCTAACCGCAGTGTGTGCACGCGGATTGACTTTTCCCCATCAGCTCCATTACCTTATCCCCAGGTGGTTCTCAAGCCAAGGCGTGACGCACCTTGTGTGCCCAGAAGTCTCTTTCCCATCAGCCTTTTTCTTCCTGGTCCACGATGCTGACCCTCCAGAGCAGGAGTGTCGGAGAGATGGGGCCCGAGACAGTAACCACCTCAGGTCACCGGGACCCGGGGTCCAAGCAGTCCCTTGACCTCTGCAGTTCTCTGGTCTCACTCAGAGTCAGACAGTGCACTGGAGCGATGTGGGGATTTGGACAGAGCATGTGCAGAGCCCTTCACAATGAATCAGGACTACATTTCCCAGACTCCT